AATAGATGTCGAAGTTCATGTACTTGGAGTAGTACCCACTGGTGATCGACAGTGGAAGGACTGGGTGAACCGGATTCGAATCACTAACGGAGTTCTGCGTGACAGACGGAGATGAGTTTTGACAGGAATTTGTCTGTGCTCAGATCGATTTTATGTCGATGTTTTCTCTGGTCATGCATGAGTCATAATCCATGATTGAAAAAGTGCGATCCCGCGTGCAAGCGGTTGAAAGGGGCTCCTTCTATGATAAATCGGAGGATTCGCCAGATTCCAGAGTTGAGATATTCGTAAAAGCCTAGGTATATTGCGGCTGCTTGTTCAAACTGAGTTGTAGCGCTTGTTTGGTTTGGGCACGTTCTAAGAATGCTTCTAGAAAGGAAAACAAAACAGCTGCGAATAGAAACTTGCTCGATCGGCCTGCGGAGTACAACAGGAACGCCAAAATGACTTGCTGTGAGTGATTCAATGTACTCTGCTTTAAACTCAAATTAACTTCTTCCGAAGCTCAGTCGCTGGCGCATGATCTGGAATTTTGGAGACTGTCTTGAACTGCTGACTCCACCATTCGTAAGGATAAGCGGCTATTGAAACTACCTGATAGGCTGGCCGCCTGGCTTGGTAATGGTAGACGTACATTTGTACTGTGCAGGAACCGCAATCAAAATTCATTCAACGTGGCCGAGATACTACGATCAGATGACTCTTGCTTCACTTATCCTGTGTGTTCAGCCCTTTACGACAAGGTTCGTGTTGTCATAGCGTCACGTGAATGGTTTTATGCAGAAACCTGTGACTGGGTGCCTTATGGACCATTTGCAGAATGTTAAACTTTCAACAGCTTTCGCCGGCTGCAAAGCGATCTAGGTGTGCCGCAATGTTGTGCTATTTCTTAAGTCTTGTTCTCAGTCTATATAAAGGGTAGTTGAACAGTTCGTCTCAGCTGTCTTGACCACGAAAACGAAAGAGCGCTGATCTCGTCCGTAGACAACAGCGTGATCATTACAGATTTGAATGATGTGAATCGAATTACCAGGTGGGTCAAAACATATGGCTTTACGCTGAACCAAGAAGAATGAATTAAATCGTTTTCTTGAAACGAAATTCATGGAGTTGGCTGCGATCTCTTCATTTTCGGTCAAAGAACCAATGTCCAGCATACGTAATTTCATTATTTCATATTGAAGTTAACCAACACTTAACCTGGGTGACGTATGTTTAATTCCTACGTGACAACAGTTAGAAAACGTCGCATTACATAGAAATACTACGATGACTGAATGCGCCTACCAAACCATTATTTGGCACTTTTGCTGCGCTTGTGCGACTGCCACTCTGACATACCCTGCAACCATTTACTTCGGCATTGTCTAGCAGCGGCTTCGCCATGAACGTGATATCCGTGAACGCCCGCCAGGGGAGCAGGCAGGCCGTACCAGTGGATTGCCAGAACTGCGGTACCATGTTTTTGTACGTAGTAGCCAACTCATATCACCATCTTCACGATAAGTTAGCATCATACCGCTCTCGTCATCAATTAGCACTCCCAAACGAACTGCGCCTGTGCTGCTGCAGACTTGTACTACACTCACGTTTATCTAGGGAATAGAAGTAAGCATTTTGTATGCTTATGATTACATTCATAGTCATATCTTTCCATTTATGCCTTCATACTGTACACAATTTTGTTTTCTATGAATATTTTCATGGCGAGCAATGGTCAGTCATTGGCTGTTACGGAAGTAAAATGACTGATGATTGAAATATCAAATCAAAATTCCAAACGGATAAAGCCATTATCACAGTAAGACCTCACGAATAGTGCAGCTTGCGGCACATTAACGATATCTCCCCAGGTGGTGTACCAGCATCATCAAAGAAAGAAACCGGCAGCACAGACGTGTTAATGAGGCATTAATCATTCAATCCCGTGACACTGTCAGCCATGACGAAGGGTGCGAACAGTGCGTAGATTGGATGCGTTTTGTAACTCCTGTTTCGTAGAAGCTTTATCCTGCAGAAAAGACCAAAAGCTTGCCTTCTGGCTACATAGATGTTGGTCGCTGCGGATAACAGGTAACAACTCTGAAACTTTAACAGCCTTATATCTTGAAGGATGCTCCTGAGATAAAAGTCATCTGAGCGTCGGCACTGGTAACTTAGCCGATTGAACATATCTTATGCGTCTTCTATTAATAAACCATGTTTTGCGTTCTTTTCAAGAATTAAAGGAAATGGTTTCTGTGATAACTACTCATCTCGATGCTCTCATCCTGGAACTAAGGAGGTCATGATGATAGAAGGATAAACAATTCAAGACGACGATTTTATGTTTTCTTAAGAAAGAACACTAAGGAAAATGGTTCTGAAAAAGTAAAAAGAGGCTAGAGTTGGCAGTCGTTAGAGTTGTTAGAAATGACATGAAACTGTGCAAGGCAAGTAAAGTCTAAATGAAGACAGTGAGGGACGTTTATTCAGTAGATGGGAATATAACGCACCGAGGGGAAGGGTCGTTTAACATATGAGTCAGAACGAGCTTCAGGTAAGTAGACGTAAATTTCGTGATGGAGTTATGAAACCATTTTTTTAAACTAGGCAGTTCGTAGCAGTAGGCTAAAGTGCAGCCTTTGAAGGTTATATAAGGTAATATTATCCTAATATTCAGTTAACCCGACTAATCGTGATTAAGGTTTTAATTTGAGTTTTAAATGGAATGGTTCCGGTATTCTATGCGAACTGAATTTTCTCACAGTCATGTTATTGCTGCCACTATCAGTAAAGAACTACACAACTTGGTTGAAGGTGAAATAACTGCTGGCCGCCGATTAAACAATACTTCTTATTAGGAACACAGTGAAGAATGT